CAACATCCTAGGGGTGGCACAGATCTGCAATTCTAACCCCAGGATGACTGCTGGGAATCCGTACCTGACGGTGCCCTTGACAAGGGTATCCCATTCCATCATATCGTAAAAACTCTGAATGTCCATGAGCGCGTGTCCGTTCGCCATCTTCATGCGAGTGAAGAGTTCTTCGTTCAACGCCTTCATGTGCGCCTCTCGCAGGGCGCTGTTGCCCTTCACCGCGGCGCCCCAGTCGGGTTGGGTCTCCGACGCCCACTGTTGAACAACTGTGGCTCCATACACGTCATATCATACAAATCAGTCCTATAACTCGAAGCTGACCTTCAGCCTTCTTCGGCAGCAGTCTCCCGACCACTCCCATGAGCTGCCAGGGCCATGTTTGACATTCTTCGAACGTATTGAAAAGTGCCGCTAACTCCGTCAATGCGTCGTCAGGTAGCCGTTCTAGGTCCACTGGCGACAAGCGATCCATGCCCATGCCAGCTTTAGCTTTTACCGACCTGACGGCGCGACGCACTTCGCCCAGAGTCAAAGGCTCCAGCGGCTCCTCACGTGCTCGACCTCGGACGATGGCGAATACATCCTCGACTTTTTCGCAATCCATGTGCGAAAACGTCCAAAGCTTTTGCCACTTGCCAGCGCGGTGCCCCGCGACGTCTCGAGGGTGCTATATGGTTCAACCCTCAACCGTGACTGAGGTCGAGCTGACTAGCTGCTCCTTAGAAGCCTTGAACAACCCTCCAGTAAACTAATTCGATGTAACCCATTGTTTGAAATCCGCTAACGATACCGACAACGCCCGTGACCTGGCCCTGCTCGCTACACGCGCCGCCTCCTTGGAGAACAGCTCGGGTTGGGCAGTGGGGGTGCCCCTCAGGTGCCAGAGCACATCGACCCATAGGTCCCATGGCGTGGCGTCCCTGTGTACTCTGACCAGCTTCTGAACCCCGTCTGGGAAGCGACCTGGTAACTTGACTGCGGCCTCGCACAGCGCGTCAATCTGCGCTTGGCCGTCGCTCCTCTGCCTGTGCTTGGAAGTCTTGCTGACGACGACGCCACCCTCTCCCACCAGTTGGCGATCGCGTCCTGGAAGGGCACGTCGCGGAAGTGGGTGGACTGCCTGACCTGGTGGACCGTCATCGTCGGACCCCGTGCACGAGAAAGGCTGTGGCGCGAATCTTCTGCTCCGCGCATCGCCCCCACAGCTGTGAACCAAGCCGCGAAGGCTCCGCTGAATGGGAGCGCGTACCGACCGCCAACATGAAATGTCAACGACTGCTGGATGGGTTTCCACACGTCGTCAAGGGAGTGTACATGGAAGCCAGAATTAGCTCGAGTCAAAACCCAACGGACATGAGGAATGGCAAACGCATCAGCATCGGGCACAGAGGGCGGAACAGTGGGAGGAGTTCCACCGTGCGACGGGGAATCTGGGAACGCCTCGCTTGAAATAGGTCGGCACTCGCTGGGAGGGGTCTCGACATTCTCATTCGTAGAGGCTCTCGCCGTGGGGTGCCCCCTTTGAAATCATCGGAGCACCACCAAGGCGCGAGACGCCAGCACTTGGGGAGGAGGCGACCGACCCGACCGACGGCGAGGGAGGGAGCGGGGGCGGACGGAGGTGCTCGCCGAAGTTGGGCTCTTCGGCCCACGGGTCAACCTCGCCCTCGTCAAGACCGCCGAATTGGAACCCAGCCCAACTATCAGGACCCTCAGGGTCTTCAGCCTCTGGAAGCGAACCGCCCGAGAAACCCTGAGAGCCCTCGCCCTCGGCATTGGCACTGCCGGGCTGGGTTAACAAATCTTCGAAAAGGCTGTTTTCCTCTAAAGGGGGCTCGCTGAACAGCCCTATCTTTCCGAGCACGAGAGGACTTCGACCCCTCCGTGGCCTGCGTCTGAGGCCGTGAGACTTGTGCAAAACGCTCGGGTAAAACCAGGGGCCCGGTGATAAGCTGCTCACCTGATCCTCGCAACTGAAGCGACAAAGCACTGCGCGGGCTCCACGGCGCGTCTTCGATCGCACTCAGGCCCGCGACGCAGGGAATCGCTGCAGCCGAGGCCACCGCAAAATCGATGCGCGCGGAGCCGCTCGAACTAACACATGTGCATTGTGCGGGGGCCTGCAGTGCTGACGCCCCGAGCCGAGACGCAAACCCCGACCGCTGGAGCTCGATCGGAGTCATGTTAAGATCCCCCAGAATGACCCAGGGAATCTGGGTCGCCTGTCTCAAAGCACCTAGTCTAGCGAATCGCCTCAGATTCGGGCCAGAGAACTTTAAACCACATCTACTGTAGAAAGTGACTATGGCAATGCTAAGCCCTGGAGATGGACAACCATAAACAACAATCCATCAATCACTGACTGTCCTACCTCACTAAGTGCCCCTAGCTTGCCGCGTGCTAATGGATGCGCCTGTCTGTGGCCCTCGGCAAGAAACATTTCACCGCCCTCGTTCGCTTTGGCCTGCCCCGAATCCGTCAAACACTGTCTACCAGTCGGTCGGGCCCCGTTGGCATAGCACCTCAGGTTGGGCGCCCTCGCCTTCTTGGCCCACTTAGCTACCTTCGAAGATGTGACGCGTGTCTCGCATAATGCGAAAAACTGGATGGACCGCGACATGGCCAGCTGGGCGAGGTAGCTCCAAGACTTGTTGCCCATCATCGTGATATTGCTAAAGAGTATCTGCACTATTTCATTCTGCGAACCGATGGAGTTGGCCTGGTCGTCTGGCTTCGGCGACACCGTTGTGGCCGACGACAAAACCGAAGAGGAAGATGGGGAGCTCGGGCAGCACGACGACGCCTCAGTGGCCGAACCTGCCACCGCTGCGCTCTGGGGCGCGGGCCCTCCCTCGGACGGCGAAGGAGCGGTGGCGGCCTGGCGGGCGCCGCCCGCGAGCTCAGCGCTCGATGGGCCCGCCGAGGCCGCCTGCGCTCACTTCGAGCCGTCCTTGGTGGGCGAAGCCGCCCCAGCCGCGCCAGCCGCTGCGCCGCGCCCGGCCGCTTGGGTGGCGGAGGCTGCCGCTGCCTTGGCCGCTGCCTCCTTCGCATCGCGAATCCTCTGGATCTCCCGTTCGATCCTCGCTTCTGCTTCAGCGCTGCCGTCAGCACCGCTGGCCCCAGCGACAGGGGGTGTCGGCTCCGCGGCCGCTCCCTCGGGCTTGGCCGCTGGCGCCTCCGCCTGCTTGCCGCCGCCCTCGTGCGTCTCGCCGTCGACCCCCCTGCGCTTCCTGGCCATGCGCTGGCGCACTGACTTCTGCATCTCGTCCATCTTGATCTTCCATGCCTGGACCTGGTCTCCGCGCTCTCCAATCGCGGACCTGGCCTGGGTGAGCTCCTGCTCCAGGCGCAACAGCTCGGCCTTCTCGGCCCCCTCGCACTCGCACTCGCCGCCGCTGCGCAGGTCCTCGAAGAAACTCTCGTCCCAAGCGACGTCGAAGGCCTTGCCGTAGCCCGCCTTGTCGCCAGCGCCTGGCTGCACGGGCTCTGCGACGCTCTCCGCCGTGAGCCCTGCCTCCGCCGCCAGCGCCCTGACGGCGATGCGCTTGGCGATCTCCGTCTGGGCCAACTCGCGAACTGCCTCGCCCTCGCGCTCGAGCGCCCTGCTGACCTGCTCGCGCGCCTTGCGGACCGCCTGCGACGCTTGATCATGGCGGCGATCCGCCTCGCGCCATGCCGCCTCGGCACGCCGATGGGCCTCGCCTGGGGTGATGGCTGCTGTGGCCTTCGACCCCGCTGACTGCACCTTCTGTCGCTCCACCTGCAGCGCCGCCTTGAGGTTGGGATCACTGGTGGCCCCGAGCGCGCGCAGCAGGATGTCGGCCGAGGAGCTGGCGTTGCTGGATGCGCGCGAGGCTATGTTCTGGTCCTGGCCCTTGCCCTGTCCGCCTCCGCCGTTGCCCTTCTTGGCCTTGCCTGTTGTGTAGCATGAACTGAACTCCGCACCGACAATACCTGTCTCGCTGTATCAACAACGAGCTCCATTCAATCGTGCCACATACTCCACACTTGGTATACAAATCTGCCGAGCTCCTGTCACTACCCTTGCCCATGCTGGGCGGTTCGCTGCCGTGATGTCGCAGCAGTCGAAGGACGTGTGCCTCACGGCGCAGCACGTCTCGGGCAGTGGCTCGCAGTCGTCTGGCACGCCGATGCCACGCGGGCGAGCGCGATCGCGGCTGCGCGCCCGTCGCGAAGCCGCCCCAAAATGGGGTTGGGGGCTGAGGTGTGCGGGCGGCCTCCGTGAAAAGAGCTTGCCCGCTGCTCAGCCACCTGGAGGAGGAGGAGGAGGAGGAGGAGGAGGAGGAGGAGGAGGAGGCGGAACGGGGGCGAAGGGCGTCGTCGCTCCTGCTGCTGCTCCGTGTGCGCTGCGAGGCGCTGGGGCTCTTCGTGTCGCCTCCAGCGCCGGTGGCTCGAAGAAGAGAAGCCGGAACACGCATGCACTCTCCGAGGGCTGCGCGGGCCTCCCAAGGACACCCGACGTCACGAGTCTTTCACGACGCGACCCCCCGGACCCGTTCCCAGGGACAAGTTTTTCATCCTGAGTCGACTTTCGACGGTCCCGAGGTCTGGTAAGGGCCCCCAGAGACCGAACTTAGCGAAAAACCTCCCCTCGCGGTTTTGCATGGCTCGAGGGGGTTTGGGCTGTTGGATCGGCGCTGGACCCCCCTGGCGGCACCTCGGAAGCTGCAACCGGCGCGCTCCGCGCGCACAGGGGCTCCAAAGCCGATCCAAGACGTCCCCGCGGACCTCCAAGAATGTACGTGTAATCTGTATGCCCTTGCTTTTTCCTCCAGGAGGGGCGAGGGAGGGAGGGAGGGAGGGAGGGAGGGAGGCAGGGAGAAGGAAAAGGAGGGAAGTACAAGGCGCGAGGTTTTGCGCCGTTTTCGTCGGTTCCTGGGCGATTTCCGGCCTCGGGGTCCCTCCTGGCAGCTGCGCCTCGTCGTCCCTCGAGGGAGGGGGTGCGCCCCATCCCCCCCCCTCCCTGTGCGGAGGGGCGCCTCAGCGAGCTGGGCAGCAGGTTGAACTTGCAGCTCTTCGGCGCGTAGGTCTCCATCGCGGGCACCAGGTCGGACTTGTCGCCCCCGGCAACCAGGAAGGCGGCTGGCGATTGTTGCATCGACCAAGCTCATCACCAGCCCCGGGGGGGGGCACCTTGTGCGAGTTCAGCACGTGTTCAGGACGAGAACGATGTCATGACGCGAGTGGCTAAGGATGCGTTCCAGGATTTCCGAGCAGCTAGCGACCCTCGTTGCCGGAGCCCGTGCGGAACAACAAGAAATCGTCGGGTCCCTGAAAATGTCGGAGCCTGTCATTCTCATGACTTCTTGCTCGTCTGAGTGTTGGCTGCCGGTGACTGGCGCTGGCGCTCCTGTATCCCCAACGCCTCCGCCTCAGCCTCAGCCTCGGCTCGCGTCTCCCATCATGCTCGTCCTGGTGCTTGTCCGCAAAGTGGCCCGTGCCCTCCTTCCTCCAGTGGAGGCCAGTCCACAAGAAACCTTCCACAAGAAACCCAGACCTGAGACCCCATGCCGTCCATGGGTTTTTGGTCTGGGAACGCCACGCTTCCCAGAGAAAAAACCGCCGAAACCCAAGAGATCCAGGGCACCCTGGAGGCAAGCAGGGTGCTTCTTGGCATGGCTCTCCACCGTAGTCCTCATCCGCGGAGTGGCCCGTGCCCTCCTTCCTCTCTCTCTCTCTCTCTCTCTCTCTCCTGATGGCATGAGGTCCTCACGGGTGCTGCCATTGGCCCCCTCCTGCAGGCACCGTCTGGTACCGCAGGAGGGGTCCATTCCGAAAATGGGCCGATCGCCGTTGAAGGGGCCGACGAGGTACGAAGGTCGAAAGGGGGACACGAACGGCGGTCCGCCCTGCTTCCTATCCTCCCTCCTCCTCTGGGGGGGCAAGGCAAAAACATCGGTGGCACGCCGCCCTGGGGAGCCCCTTGGCGTGCCGCTGGTGACGGAAGACTTGGTTTTCGAAGAGAAATGTGGACACCCGGAATGGGTACGCAAAAATGGGTGCAATGCCCAACCACACATGTTGTCCCAAACCAACAGCGGCCGCTGTTGGGCAGGCGGCCTTCTGTCTCAAATGGACGCAGGCCGCGGCGGCGCGGACAGCGAGTCCTGTTCCAAATGAGCAGGACATGCTGTCGGGCATTGTGCCCATTCTCCGTACCCATTTCGCTCGTGCAGAAGAAACGAATGAGTACCACCTTGACGGGCTCCCACCGGCAGCGTGTCGCTGACACTCCTTTTCCGTCCCGATGTTCCTCCTCCTCCTCCTCCTCCTTTTCCTCATCCTGGCTCTCCTCCTCCTCCTCCTCCTCCTCCTCCTCCTCCTCTTCCCTGCTGCTCCTCATGTGGTGCAGACTCGTTCGCCAATCGACGCGTCGGCGGCAACGGGGCAGCTCAAAAGGAGGAGGAGGAGGAATAATAATGAGAGGACCGACTGATTGAAGGCCGGAGGCGATCTCAACATCCGCATTCAGAATGAAGCTGGGAGTTTGACAGAACCGAGTTCTGATCCCTGCCGACGAGAGAATGAGAAGAAAACGAAGAGGAATAGGAGGGACCCTCCCTGGTTGCTCATCGTAGTCGCTATTTCCCCTTCCTCCACTCTTGCCCCCTCTCCCCCCGCGACCCTCCACTCAAGGGTCCGCGCGACGCCCGCTTATGGAGGCTGCCCGCGCATGCGTTTGGAGGAGCAAAAGCAGACAGAGCAGCATCGTTCCTGGGGGGATGGTGAGAGGAGGGCGGAGGAACAGGAGGAGGAGGAGGAGGAGGAGGAGGAGGAAGAGGAGGACGACGAGGAGGAAAAGGGGAGGAGGAGGAGGAGGAGGAGGAGGAAAAGGGGAGGAGGAGGAGGAGGAGGAGGAGGAGGAGGCGGAGGAGGGAGGAGGGAGGAGGGAGGAGCATTTTTGGATTGCGCTCTGCTTTGCCGAAGAGACGGTCAGCTTGGTGCGGCACTCACTAGCTGCTGGCAGAAACGCGCGGTATCTAGCAGCACGGGCGCCAAGGTTTGGTGAATCTCCCCGCCCCCGTCACCTATCCCGTACCACCCCCATACCGTCGGAAGGCGCTCGAGGCGCATTGCAACGCAACAGGAGTAGGGAAAAGGCAGGAGGAGGCTGATCAAAGAGGGGAGCAACTGAGATAGCCTGCAAAAAGCCCAAAGGGCAGCTAAGTGGGCGTGCGTGTACAAGGAAGGGGCCAGCGGGAGTGCACGATTTTCGCACGCCCGACCTGTGTCCCATGCCTATCTCATCGCCGCAGTGCGACTACGTCCCCGCCAACAAACCTATACCTAGGGAAAGTGGGGAAGGTGAAACTGCCTGGCTTGTCCGATGCGCGGGCAGGGCCTGCGCGCGTGTCTGACCGCCCCGAAGGAGGTTCGCCGTACCTAGTACGGCGCCCGAAACCTCTCGACCTGGGCAAGAGAGGCAAACACCAAGAGGCAAGAGAGGCTGGCGAAAAGGCAGCTGAGCGGGGGGCGGGGGCGAGGCAGGGGCCACCGGGAGTGCACGATTTTCGTACGCCCGACCTGCGGCCAGTGCCTGCTCCAACGCCACAGTAGAAACGCCGTCCCGAGGGAGGAGGGAGGAGGAAGAGGAGAAAGGAGGAGCAGCAGCAGCAGGATCAGCACAGGCGGGAGGGAGAGGGAGAAACGGCAGCAAGAGCGACGGCAGCGGCAGCAGCAGGACCAGCAAACGCGGCGCCAACCGCAGGGCACAGCTGGCCGCGCGGCAGCAGGGACGGCGCCAGCAGGGCGGGGGGGGGGAAGGAGGCGGAGGAGGGGAAGGGACATGAGAGGAACAAAACAACAATTGCGTCGCAGCGCGGCAGAGGCAGTCCGCACGCGCGCCCGAGCGGGCCGGGAGACGGCAGGCGCAACATTGTCCGGCAGCAAGAGGGGGGGTAAAGGCACAGGTGGGCGGCTGCGGGAAGGAGGAGCAGCAAAAACGGCGCAACGCCCACTCCCTGAAGGTCCCTGACACGAACGGCCCCCCTCCTCCCCCTAGCAGACTGAAGAGACTGGGTGGATAGGCTGTGGCTGGTGAAAGGCCACGACCTCCGCTCGTGGCGAAATCATATGGGCAACAAACGCAAACGACTCGAGATGAAAAGAGGGTCCCGGGAATGGGTCCAGAACTTCAGGGGTCTGCGCTGCGAACAAACCACGACGTCGAACGGATCAACCTGACTGTTGCATCTTGACGATCCTGACCGCGCCAGAACGCCAGTCCTGGGACTTCCACACCGCGAGCCAACGTCCCGCATAATCCTGAATCTTTCCAAAGCGTCATTTCTGGTACGTTGACCATGGAATCCTTGAAACTCTTGAAAGGTTTTAATACGAATGTGCGCGGCGCTAAAGCGAGAGTCACAGCTTGAAAAGGAACCGCCCTCAATCCGTGAAGCTCTTGCAAGTTGAAAACGAATGTGCGCGGCGCGAAAGCGAGAACCACATGTTGAAAACCACTCCCCCTCAATTCGTGAAACCCTTGCAAATTTGTAGGACAAATGTACGCGGCGTTGAGGCGAGAGCCACATGTTGAACAGGAGCCGCCCTCCATCTATGAAAATGTTGACAACGTTTGAACTTCAGAGTAAAAAGTGGTGGGGAAGGCTCAGGGGAAACGCCCGGCCCGCCCTAAAAACTGGCCTCGGGTGCGTCAGAGAGAAGTTCTGTAGAAGGAAGAGAAATGAAGGATGAGGAGGAGGAGAAGGTGGAAGAGGAGGAGGAGGAGGAGGAGGAGGAGGAGGAGGAGGGAGGAGGAGGAGGAGGAGGGAGGATGGAGGAGGGAGGAGGACGAGGAGGAGTAAGGAGGCAGGAGGGAGGAGGACCGAGGAGGAGGGGGCGGCCGCGGCAGGAGGAGGAGGTAGGATGGAGGAGGAGGAGAGGATAGGAGGAGGAGGGGAGGGGGAGGAAGGAGGAGGAGGAGGAGGAGGAGGGAGGAGAGGAGGAGGGAGGAGGAGAGAGGGAGGAGGAGGAGGAGGAGGAGGAGCATAGCCTCAGCATGCACCAGTCGGGGGTGGGGGGAGCGCGAGCAGAGGCGAAGTGGTGCTGCGGGGAAGCTCTCCTGCAGCGCACGCGGCAGCGACGACATGGCGCAGCCTCGGAGGGGCGGCGACCCCCCCTTTGCCTCCCCCAAAAATCTCCTGCTGCTGCCCTGCCTGGTCAGGCCCCTTCTCCTCCTCCTCCTCCTCCTCCTTCTCCTCCTCCTCCTCCTCCATTCTGCGCCAGGCAAACGCTGAAGACGCCCAGAGACACACACGAATAAAGAGACACGGATCCCAGGATTATACGTTCCGTATGTTTCTGAGCGTCCGTCTTCCCCTCTACTTTCCATATGTTCCCATGTGTTCCTGGGAATCGTTGTCTGTGTGTGTGTGCGTGTGTGCGTGTGTGCGTGTGTGCGTGTGTGCGTGTGTGCGTGTGTGCGTGTGTGCGTGTGTGCGTGTGTGCGTGTGCGCGTGTGCGTGTGTGCGTGTGTGCGTGTGTGCGTGTGTGCGTGTGTGCGTGTGTGCGTGTGTGCGTGTGTGCGTGTGTGCGTGTGTGCGTGTGTGCGTGTGTGCGTGTTTGCGTGTGTGCGTGTGTGCGTGTGTGCGTGTGTGCGTGTGTGCGTGTGTGCGTGTGTGCGTGTGTGAGTGTGTGCGTGTGTGCGTGTGTGCGTGTGTGCGTGTGTGCGTGTGTGCGTGTGTGCGTGTGTGCGTGTGTGCGTGTGTGCGT